TGCCTGGTCCCAGGCACACACCCCAAAGCATGATTGTATCACAGGGCACAGCAAAATCTTCGGTTTCTCCTGGAGAAGGAGGAAGATAAAGACCAACTCACCTCTGCCCTGTGAATCCACTTGGTTTGATCAATTTGCCAGACAGACACAGTTATGCAAAAATACTCTCAGCAGAATTTTTTAAGTATCAGTCTATTTGGGAGAATATTAGAAAGTACTTACTTAAACTACAGTCCTTACTTTTATTATTGTAAAAGCCTTTTCCTTTTTTTTCACCTTTGTTTTCAATTAAAAACAGTTAGGATTTAGGTTTTTGCTTTTCACTAGAATAAAAGTAATTTGCAAAGGTAATAGTATTGTGGGAATGAAGGAACCTTTCAGCTGATCACTAGAAGAAGCAAATATTTACCATCTGGCTCTGGCTCTGATGATGAATTGGAGACTGATGTGGAGAGCATGGTCTTCCTCCTGGCTGCAGCTTTGCTGACTTCATCAAATCAGGCCATCTTCGGTTTACAGTTATTTTTTCTCTAAAATGTAGTTTTCCTGGGGAAAAAAAATAGTCTTCGGAAGCTTTGCACTATTGCATAATTTATTTCAAAGAAACTCCGCCTGGCTGATGCCAAGGATTCGTGTAGGTCATTCATCTCCAGTCTGCCCGGTTAGCTCAGGTTCCCTGTTCCATTCCCTCCTTCCTTGTCTCTTCTTACAGAAAAGTTGCACACACAAAGCCATTCCCAGGGAAACTCTCTGCTAAGTTCACAGCTGAAACAAAGCTGTGCACACACAGGAAGATGTGAATTGTTGCCCTTTCACCAAAACTGGAGAAGAAGGAAAGGAAAACGGATGAAGAACAGGTCAATGAGGGGCCAAGGCCAGTAGAAGTGTTTTTGCCCCACACTACCCCGTGTCAGAGGTTCCACCCCTGTGCCTGTGCTGCTGAGGATACTCCATAACACACACTGAATGGATCAAGTCAGATTACCAAAAGCTTTGTGTTTAACTTCAGCTCATTCTGGTGAAGCTGATAAGGGACCAACCACTCAATCCAACAGCAGGTAGGTCTGTAGGGACAGTGATCCTGGGCAGTGAGGAGGAGCATTGGCATGTGACCTCTTAGAGTGGGAGATGTGTACTGGTAGCAGCCCCTTGACTTTCCCACAACCTTGTCTCAAAAACAAAACTCCTCATGACATGCTCAGAATTGGCTCTGTTGCAAACAATAATGCAGTCATGATGTCACAGACCAGTGGATCAAAGTAGAAGAATACTAAAGACCAAGAAAAATCTGTCTACAAATGCCACCATTTAATTTTCTTTTTCTCCTTTCCTTCACCCTCTGCTGCTATTTTGATAGTAGTTAAAGTTGAAGACATCAAGGAAAATGAGGACCCTTCAAACAGCTGCTCAGTTGGAGCCAGCATGATGGGAGCTGAGAGGCAGCCTGCCCACATGACCGTTCCCAGCTCTGCTGCTGGAGCTTTACATGGGTAAAGGTGACCTTTGGGTCATCGCTCACCCTTGTCACCTTGTCTAGTCTGTGCCCAGCATCTCCTGGTGGAGACCATCTCACCACACACAGAGGGGCTCAGCCCTGCAGGCAAGGAGGCTTTGTCAATGTGGGGGCCTCATCAGTGAGGGGGCTTCATCAGCGGACACCCTGGAATCAACTGTAATGCTGATAAAAAAGTAGGAATAGGGAAAAAAAATCTGCTGAAATTGAGCAGTGGATGACACTGTGAGAGGAAGAAAAAGCCTCAAACTTTAAAGGCAGTATTAAAACAGGGCATGCAGAAAGTGAAGTCAATTAGCCAAAAGAATCGTTTGCTGGCGGAGGTCGTTGGGCCGAATTCCTAAAAGGATTCATGAATCGACTAAAAATACCCTTGGGATAGTTTGAGTACGGACTGAGTTACTGAAGGGCAATGCCCCAGATGACCCAGGAGACCCTTTCCAATCCTACAATATAAACAATGATGCTATTAACATTTGTACTAAGTACCTGCTCAGGCTCCTTGCCTGCTACCGCAGCACTTTGGCTCCCATCCGGAGCAGGAGCGGAGGCTGCAAGATGTGCTCCCTACCTTAGCCCAGAGAGCATCCTTTACCAACCACCCCTGTAGACAGGGAAATATGGAAAACCCTCTGGCCAATGGTAGGAGCAGGAAGAGGCCACAAAGATTAGTGGAAAAGCCTGATGGAAACCCTGCAGTGCTGAAAAGAACAATGGGAAGGCTGGAGAAAATCATCGGTGAGTGGAGAGACCCAGGGCACAGTGATCTTAGCGGCCAAGTAACGCCAAGAAGGCACCTGGAAGGCACAGGGGAACCAGGGATGGTTTGGGGAATCTGCAGGAATATCTTATAATTGTGCAAAAAAAGCCAACTCTATCTGGGGGGACCTAAAAAAGCCAGATGGAGCTTGGATATCAGTTTGGGAAATGCAGCAGGTCTGTGCGTCCCACCAAGATGTCCCAATAAGATAATCCAGGTGACCTTTGCTGTTGGGATGTGCCATCCGGCTGTGGAGCAGTTATCACTGTACAGACCCCACACAGGCCAGGGATTGTGTATTGTACTGACTGTGGCAGGGGAAAAGCTATTTTGTCATTAACTGTTTCTGTTTCCCTTAACATCCCTAATGACCAGACCTGACTGAAACACTGGACATTGTCCTGGGAGACAGCAGAGCACTGTAACACCTCACAAAGGTGTCCAGGTTTAATGTCAAGGCAAACCCGCAGCCTTAAATCTCTAACTTGTAATTCAGGTTCAGAGGATAATAACGAAAACAAGGTTAGATAAAAACATTCACTATCAAAATTTAATTATGCGTCCACAGGCTGAGGCTCATTATTCATCCTCCAACCTGGAAACAAATTAGTCTAATGAAGCCATGAGTTAAAATGGAGAAAGCATGTAAAGGCTGGAGAATATTTATGTCTCTGCTCCTGAGTCAAAAGCAGCACTGAGCTCTGGTGCTAGCTACATTTTTCACTGGAATCAGGTGCTTCCTATAGATGGTGGCATATCCAGGACCTGGATTTTGCTGTGAGCAGGAACAGTTGCTCCTAAATTGCAAGCTGAAGCCATTAGAGACTGGTGAGGTGTGGGGGCTCAGTACAGTCACAGGGGCTCATCAAAACCAGACATGATCAGAGCCCACATGTATAAAGAAACCCAAATACAAGTGTCAGCTGCCACTGAGTCAATCCAACTCGAGGGACAGGTTTTACTCTGGCACAAGTTCCCTGATGACAGCCAGGGTAGCCCCACGGAGAGTTTGGCTCCACTGACCTCTGCTAAATGGGAAACCAAATCTCAGGGGCTGGAAAGAAAAGGAATTGGTAACTAACTATAGTGGGATGGCGGCTCTCTGTGGGTTTATCGTGCAAGTGTTTAAGAAGACAAAGGCTATAATTAAACTGCCCGGGAATGTATAATCACAGCAAGGAAGGTCTTTTGCCCTGCTTCTTCCCTGCAGAATTTGGGGAGAAATGAAATTACATCCCAGGAAAGGGAACTGATCCATGTTTAAACCATACTCTCCGCTGCACCGCCCAGCACCCCTCAGGTTTGGACAGGTTGCTTTGGCCACCTATAAAAGTCACCCATAAACTGTAACTCCTGGCACAAGTGGGTTTGAGGATAGTTATAGGCTTTTCCACTGCACACCATGGCAAGTCTGCTGATATATAGCCCAGGTCTGAGCTCTGCAGCAGAGTGCAAAAGGTTCAAGCGACCTAGTAAAGACTGTGCCAGTACCAGAGAATAAGTCCCCGTAGGCCCCGGCTGAGCCATTCTCACCACTTTATTCTCTTGCTCCCATCCTAATGTGCTTAACTATAAATGACCCCTTTATTTTTTATATCTCCATTTCATTTTTCCCCTTCTTCCAAGGAAGCAGTAAAACAGGGAAGCTGAGAAGCAGAGCTCTTATTGTAAAGTGAGTGCTGACACAGAGCAATCCTGGGGACCTCGCAGCTCACGTTGAACATTTGTATCATCACAAGGAGCCTCTGGGCTTCTCCTCTGAGAACCAAGCCCTAATCCTGCTCCCAGGCTCCCAAAAGAAGCCTATTGGGATCACACAGGTAGAGGTGAGCTGCTTCTGGGCTGGGGGTCCTGACATTTGCTGGCTAAGCTTGACAGTATTTTATTTCCAGTTTTACTTGGTGTTTTATTCCATGATGTCCTGGAGTTCTACTCAAGGATGGCAGATTTGGGTGAAGACAACCCAGCAGAGCAGAGCACCCCAAACACAGCCCCTCTTTTGTGCTCTTTTTCTTCAGAATGCAGAAGATTCTCAGCCACCCTGGGCAGAAGGACAACAGCTTGCTGTTTATTAGTATAATTTTTAAAGGTGCCTCATTGTATTTATTTGCTGTGTGGTTAAACATTTATTATTTATATTTAATTTTCCCAGATTCAAAGGGGCATCACTAGTGGCTGAGTGTCTGCAGATTCAGTGCAGCTCCTTCGCACACTTATTTATGTAACCTTGGCCTCCCCCGAGGGGCTCCCGTTTCACTATGTGCCATTGGCCTCTTAATTGGCCTCACAGATCACGCCTTCTCCTTCAGCTCACCCAGGTCCCCACCACTCGTAATTTCTAAGATATTAAATGTGGTTGAAACAAAAGATTTCAGTGAATTAAAGCCAAGAAGTTTCGTATCTCTCCCAAACCTTCCCTGCCAATTCCCTCTCCAGGGCGATGGCCAGACTGAGGTCATCAGCACTGGTCTGGAGGGCTCAGGAGGGACCAGGCTGTGTCCTGGGTAGGAGGTGGACACCCTGGCTGGTGTGCCTGGCTGTTGCTGGGCCTGGCTTTGCACCCAGCTGTGTCTTCTTGATAAGAGTGTTTGGCACTAATTAGTCTCCAAGCAGCTGATTAACCCGCAGGGATGTATGGAAGCTGTTTTTGCTGTAAGACACTACAAGAGAGGCAGGATTCTCTCCTTGGGAATGTTTTGCATAGCCAGTCCAGCCACCTTGGATGGACAGCAGGTGGTGGGATGGGGGAGACTCATCCTCTGCCTCTGAGACATCCCAAAGCCACCTCTCTCCACTGTCCAGCACTGTAGCTCTCACTCAGATGATGGGCTGGGTACCAAACTTATAGGGGCAGCCAGACTGGGACACTTATCAGGACATAGACTCTGGGGTCTAAAAATGCAATTTTCAGAGCTGTGGAGACCAGGAACTCCCACTGGCATTTCCTGAGAAGTAAAACCACATTGAGGCAATGGCTTTGGATATTCCTTTTGTGATACATCCTGCTGCCAATGCACCCCAAGCACCTCAGGGTCACATCTGACCCAAAGATGCTGCCTACATTTCACTTCCAGCCACCAGCCCTGATGCTTCATGAATAAATGAAAATGCACTTTAAGCTATTAAACTTTATTTTAGACAACACAGACCCTGTCACAAGGAGTTCCACATGTCTGCAACAAGGTAAAGACATTTGGACAACTCAACCATGTGAGGTTTTGACTGGGGTAGCTAAACCTCTGGGTGAAGGGGGTTGAGAACCCCAGCACATTTTTAGCCATTTGCCAGCTGTTTGGGTTTAAAGAGAAACTTCACTCTCACAGGTAAAACTATTTAACATTAATGGTTTTATACCTTCTCCTTAAATATATCACAGGCTATACTTGGAGATGGAGTTTGAGAGTAAACATTGTTATGCTGGAGCTGTCATCTGTGAGTAATCACAGACCTAATTGAAGCTGGCCAGCCTATTAAATAAACATTCTGCATAAACGAGGGAGCAAAGAAATACCCTTTAGTTTGGTAATACTTGAAATGACAGAAACCAGTACCTGAGTCAGGGACCAGGGAAATGGGGCTGGAGTAGCTGGAGAGCCAGGGAGGGAGGTTTCCCCCAAGCAGCTCACAGCAGTGGTGCAGCAACCAGCTTTTGGAGGGAGAGCAAGGAGGGTGTTTCCCTGCTGGCCATGGCAGGGCTGGATTTTGGGACACTGCAGTTTTGAGGAGTATGGTTTTGTTGTATCCAGGGGAACATAACTTCCCACCACCTACTGCTAATAGCTGGGCTAAGGCTCACAAAACAGCCTAACAAAAACCATCCTCCCAGCATCAAATACTGCCTAATCACCCCACTGAAATGGGCAACAACACAGTCTTGCAGCGTTTCTTGC